AAAAAAAACATTAACTGTAAATAATCGTATATCGATGCATAAACAGAGAAGCCGCTGTGATTCTTGAAACGATGGAACTCGCTGGGCGACGATGATGTTGTTTTGTCAGCATCGTGTTGATCACAGGCGTAACAGAAGGTAATCATAACAGTAATAATGCTGGTACGTGATAAGGGGGTGATATAACAAGAGACAATAATCATAGTAATAAGAACACCAATAGTAATAGTAGTAATTGTGTCAACCGTAAGAAAAAAAAGCAAAACAACAAACAATGGGCCCAAGTAAATATGGGTGAAATACCATGCCATGTGAATATGTGGGTGGGCAGGTGTGCTATGTTTGTTGTCATATGGGGATTCTTAACGCTTGAACAAAAAGGTTTGAGCACCACAATCATTTATTTTATGTAATAAAAATGTCGGAGTTTTAGTATGGCCTTTTTGAAAATCAAATAAAATAAAATAAATGCGTTTGATATTTCATATTAGCCGCGCGTGAAGGCTGTCTTAGCGTTCATGCTTGACGCATTCAGTGATTTACATAAACATTTTTCTGTAGTAGGAGGGAGAAGGGTCAAATCTGGCGGGCCCAGTACGAGGCACATGCTGTCGAAGACACTGGATATGTGTGTGCGTGTGTGTTAGAAGATTGGGTTTTGCATTATTAAGCGCGCTAGTAAAGTAAAAATTCCAAAAAAACCTGCGCGAATCTTGCTGCATCTCGATGCATCGAAGACCCTTTCTTTGACGCACAGCTTTCTAGTGGCATCCGCCTTGGCGGATGCCCCCACATTAAGAGGAAAAATGCATCCAAAACACAAAACAAAACAGAATAAAGATCTTTTTAAATGAAACCCGTTTTAGTGGAGAATAAACAACATCAGAACACATTTGCCATTCAATGACATTAAGCTCCATACGATGATGATAATGGTAATAAAATTAGCAACATGTTGCTGTTTTTTTTTACTTCTTTTTTCTTGTTTTGTTTCCTTTAAGGGCAAGTAAAAAGAATTTTGCCCATCAAATATTTGGAGCACAGCAAAATGGGGCAATTAAAAACCTACTCTTACACTCCGTTTATTATGTGTATAGAGGATTTCTGTCAAATACCTTGCTGAGACTTAACCGAATGAAGAGATCCTTAGTCGAGGAGCAACACTACACAACAAAGACGAGCTAGCGAGCGATGTATGTATTTACCAGGTAATATAACATCTGGAGAAGCTGTGATTACAATACCGATCGAAAATTGCGGTGCATTGGGCAGCAGTGCGTAACGACAGAATTTACACACATTATTAGAGGGGCAATGTGCTTTTCAACTGGAATGGCAACGGGATGTGCCACTAGTTGCCAAAATAGACACGTCTAACGGAGAGAGGCTCTCCACAATCATGACATTAATGACTTCAAAGGGGACAATTCCTTAGCGCAGAGTTCTTTCCAAAGCTGTGATGGCAAAAATCCCGTCGTCACGAATAGGCAGCAGTAGGAGACCCGTCGCCACGAAATCAGCGAAGAGAAGCGCCAGCGCATCAGATAATGAAGGAGCAACAAATGCATCCGTGGAAAATTTATTGGAGGAGAGCAGTTTGGCTCATTAGCTTCTCTTGAGCCCCGTGGGTTGGATTGTAGCTTTACTGAGTTTACCAACATGTACATTGATAATTTTGTGGGTTTGGTGGGGGGCGTATTTTTTTTTTTACTGTTGTTGTGAGTTGTGAGGACGAATGTTATGTGGCTTCGTTCCAGTTAATTCATTTGGCTGGAGCGGCTGCGCTTACTGCCACTTTGAGTTTCCTGGAGTGTTCCAAGGGAGCAATGACTCCGCCTGGGTGCCGTCATCATATGACGCGCCTGCTTGAGAAGATGGAGCTCTGGCTTCTACTCGTTGCGTCGTGGCTGGTGCGTGTAGAGTTGCTTCCACGCTACCACATCAAATTCGGTGAGGCGATGATTGTTTCACGTTCAATAAAAGAACTTTCTCGGAGGAGGAGTCGGGCGTTGATAAACGATGCAGTGCGGCTCCGTTCTCTATAGCGGCTTGTACCTGCTTGTCGCCGTTGCCGTGGATCCCGTGCCGCAGCCCGTGTACGCAGGTTACATGGGGGAAGCGGGGAAATTTGTCGCCATGCTCTCGCTGTTGGGCGCACCTTTTGGTGTGCCGGGTGTGAACTACGTGACGGCGTTAGGTATGATGCATTACACACCGGACGCAAGCCGTCACCTTCTGTGAAGCTAGGTAGTGGCGTGCATTGCATTTTCGCTTGTTTTTCTCTAAGAGACGTGTGCGCTGAGGCGCCGCTGATCTTTCTCTCTTTCTCCTTATCCACCTCTCTTGCTTCTCAGTTTTTTGCCTGGCATCATAATAGGCACAAAGGGGAGGAACAAATCAATCAGCGCAACGCGGGGGGGAAAAAGGAGAGGAAGCGAAAAAGAAAAAAAAATCACAGAAAAGGAAGGCAAAAAGGTACAGGGGAAGCAGACAAGAGGGAATTCCGAGATAGCGAGCGAGCTAGTGAGTGAGTGAAAGTGAAAACGGGAGAGAGCGAGCCAGGGTAGGGTAGTGTAGGGAATGTTGAAGGTGGTTCCCAGTGAGCTGCAGTTTGGGGCGCTTGTTGTGAACGATGCTCCCGTGTACTGCCGCTTCCGCGTCGTGAATACTGACCCGTTGGTTGCCCTGTCAGTGCAACTCACCGCGACGACGGTGCCGGCCGCCATTCGATTTAAACTGTGGGACGACATGTTGCTGCTCGGCGACACCGAAGTGGAGGGCGGCGGCGGCGGCGATGCTCAGAAGGATCACTCCATGCGGGGGACGCTGTCACCCTTCTACAACACCGTCTTCGACGGCGTGAACGCCATTGACCGGCTGCTGCTACCTCCGCTGGAGGCGAAGGAGTTAGTGGCCATCTTCCACGCGGATCCAGGGGAGTTTGGCAACATCATGGTGCAGGCCTCACCCACGATGGTTAGCGGGGCGATTCAGTTGTTGGCGGCCTCACTGCCAGTGGTGTCCTCGTCCATGGACGCGGGCACTAGTAAGGGGAACTCCAACAATAAGAGTCTTAGCAGCAACAACAACTTCCTGACCCTTACCTCCTCCCTGCATCTAATGCGTGAGAAGGACTGTCAGCACACGCAGCAGCAAAAATGTGGTCATGCAGCTGCCCCCGCAGGCGGCAGCGACAACAGGAAGGAGAGCGGTGCGAGTGTGCAGGGCGATAACTTGCCGCGGCGTCCGCCGCTGCACTCGTCGGGGTCTCTTTCACTGGCGGCGGTGCGCTCCGAGACAGTCACGCTGCCGTTTAGCGCAAGCATCTTTCTCTCGCTGCTCACGGTGTCGCGGTCGGAGCTGCAGACCACCATGGCGCCGAGCAAGACCCACCTGATGGACTTCACTGTTACCAACGCCTCCGCCCTGCCGCTGCCCTTCGTGATCCGTTCGCAGACGATGCCGCAGAAAAACGTGGAGTTTTCCCTGTACGAGGAGGACAAGTTTGAGGAGCCAAAGATCGGCCGCACACTGCTACTCGACAGACACGCCTCTATGAACTTTACACTGATGGTGCGCACCACCGCCGGTGCACTCTCCGGCGGCGCCACCGGCATGCAGCACTACCGTGTAGTGCTGCAGTGCGACAACCTCCGCGACGCCCGCAACTCGGAGCTGGTGTACGTGCACATCAACGTGGTCGCGGCGGAGTCGCAGACGGACCTCGTGAGCGTCAGGAACCCGGTACTGGACTTCGGCGAGGTCTATCGTGGCACGCGGGTCATCCGGGAGCTGAGTGTCTGCAACACCACTCGTGAGGATGTGACGTTGCGCCTTCTTAACCCCCGCCCTCACCACTGCGAGGGGGCACTAAGCCTCGTGCGACCAGGTCGCGGCATCGACGGCGGCGGCAGCGGCGGCGACGGCGGCGACGGCAAGAGCAGTACTGGTAGGGCCGTTCCCAGCCCCAGCGCGAACCCCGACAGCAACAACAACAGCAGCAATAAGAACGAGACAGGCACCGACGACGGGGGCGACAAAAGTGAGGCAATCATCGCCGTGGACGAGGTGGTGATAGCACCGCAGAAAGGAAGTGTGCCGGTGGGGGTTATGTATGTCCCTTCCACTGACCAGGAACACAGGGCGACCTCGAGCCTAAAGTTTGAGTTTGAGTTTGTGGTCACAGGCGTGGGAAGTGAAACAACCGACGGTAACAGGCGGCAGCAGCGGGTGATGATACGGTGCGTGGCAACCCTCTTCACGAGCACCATCGTCGCCTCCCAAACGAATATTAACTTTGGCGACTGCCAGGTGGGACAAAGCCGGCGCTACACCTTCGCTATAGAAAACCCCTCGCCGTTGCCCACAACGATCTACGTGGAGCTGCGCAGCAAGGTTGTCTCCATTGAAGGGGTTCAGCCACGCGTGTCGGCGACAGGAGGGCGGGAAACGCTGGAGGAGTTTTCCATTGCCCCACACAGCAGTCTACCCATCACACTCCGCATCAACCCCCAACGCGTGAATCCCACCTACCGCAAACAGCTCACCATCGCGAACGTATCCAACCCCGCCGAGGATCGTCTGATTGTGAACATTGAGGCCAATAACATGGCACCCTCTGAGGCAAAACTGCACGATGAGCTGTACACGTGTGAATCGAAGGCACACTGCGACGATGGGAACGTCAACGCTGGAGGGCGCGGTCACGATGGCATGGGTGTGTCTTGGCTGCGAACCCTCGCAAATGTCCCACTTATCGTGGCCTACGTCCTGCAGTCCAAGGTGGACTATCCCCTTGTGCTGCAGCTGAACAGCTCAAGGAGCACGATTGACACCTTCTCCGTGGAGGGCATGCCGGCTAGTGAGTTTGAGGCGATGACGGTGGAGCTGCGAGACTACTGCTGCTACGTCGGGGAGGAGGTGGGAGAGGTGCTCTCGGTGGAGCGGGCAGAGAAGGTGCGGAACAGCGTCGTCAATGCCCTGTGCCAGCACGCTGTGACGATAAAAAGCATCACGCTCGAGCCTCGCGGGAGTAGCACGTTTTATGTGCGTATCGATCGCACGAGCGGGGGCGTGGATGGGATGACGAAGGAGGATGGGATCAGCATTGTGGTGGAGGGGATTGAGGTGCCGCGGTTTGTGCGCCTTTCTTACCATCTCTGCAGCACGCGATTTGTGCTGGAGGGGCAGAAGACGAAGAACTTTGGCGAGGTGAACATTGGTGAACGCAAGACAACCAAGCTTCCCATCGTAAATCAGTGCAATGCCCCGCTGCTGTTGAAGCTGTCCAAATCGCGCTCGGTCACGGCAGGGCACATTCGCATGGAGAACTCGGACAAGACGTGCATCTACTGCCGCATCCGCCCATACGCCACGAAGGAGGTGGAGCTCTGCTTCTACCCGGGCATCAAGGGCGGCTTTGAGGAGCGTATCCGCATTACCAACGTCCTCGACCCGTCGAATGAGGTGACCGTGACGCTGAAGGCGAGCGTCACAAAGGCGGAGACGTTTGACGTCAGTCCCAGCTCGTGGAGCTTCGGGGTCGTGCCGGTGCCGCTGCAGCTGCCGGCCCTGCAGCCGGTGCCTGCGACCGGTGGAAATGGCAGTGGCGGGGCACCAGTGGGTTGTGACGACGCGGGGCCGCCCTCCGTGCGTGTAGGCGCCCGCTTCAGCGTGGTCAACACTAGCAACACCCGACGGGAGCTCTGCTTGAGGCTTCACTCCCCCCCGTTGACTCCATCGGTGTGCGGCAGCCTCCGCCGTGGCAACGCCAACAATACTGCCGTCGCAGACGCCACCACGAACTTGGGGGACCGTTTTTTAAAATTTGATGGCGTTGAGGTGCGGCTGCAGCTGGAGATGGAGCACGGTGGCGCAAGTTCCGGCTCCTCCCGCAAGCTTGAGGAGAAGATTGAAAAACTTGAGCAGAAGCTGAAGATCTACCGTCGCAAGAAGAAGACGGAAAAGGTGGCAGCGGCAATGCGGCAAATCAAGGCGCTGCGCTGCGCCCTCATGGGGAAGGAGTTTGACGTGAGCCCAACGGCGACATTTACGGAGGAGGAAACCGCTGCTTCTTCGGCCGTGGATGGTGGTGGTGGTGGTGGTGGTGGTGGTGGTGGTGGTGGGGACCAGAAGCAGCAGGAAGGGTGGCACTCCAATGTGCCGTCGGAGTGCGAGGAGGAAAAGCTGCCGGCGAAGCCACCGGCACGCCAGCTGCAGCACCCGGAGTTGCTGTCGCTGCTGCTCTGCGACGGCGTGGCGTTACCAGAGATGAATGCGGGAGAGTCAACCATCCTCGTGCTCACCCTCACGTGTGCGCGGACGACGAAGTGGATTCCGCCTGCACAGAGCGGCACCATTATGTTTCTTCTTTGCGAGACAAAAGACAAGGAGGCCAATCGTGTCATTCCAGTCGACATCACACTTGTACCCACGGAGGGTGAGGGCGAGACTGAGGCTGAGGGGGCGGGGGACACCGCTAATCAACCCATGACAGCGGCAACCGTATTGGCGGTTTCATTGAATACACTAGAGGGAACTCCTGCAGGAAAGTCGTTCCCGATTTCTTGCAAGGATACAATCATCTTACCACCGGCTGCAGAGTTGAGAAATGCGTCTTTTCCCGCACACACTGCCCCGGTAACACCACCGGCGTCGTTCATCTCCATTGAACCCGGTGAGGGAGTCGTGGCCACCACGTTTATGCGCTGCCCCATGGCGTTTGTGATGCACTCCGTTGCGTACGAGACATGCAAGTTTACCGTTCTGATACGGGCAACATATGGCACCTCGTTTGTTGTGCTGGACCCGCTCCGTTGCTGTGGCAACAGCCTCCACAGCGGCATGATTCTTGGCGCATCCACCACGCTGCGTGGTGGGACGGCTGGGAATGGTAGTAATAATAATAATATTAGTGCTGATGGTGGTGTGATGAATACGAATAATGCCCCTGCTGGAGCTGGCGGCGGCGGTGGGGTGGCATCGTCCACAGCGTTGATGCCAGCAAAGACATTAGATGCGCATTTCAAGTTTGTCCCACGCAACGGGGCGCTGCGGGCGTCAGAGTCCTTTTGCATCACGGTGGAGTGCACCCCAATGAGCGTCGTTCCGCAGCGCTACTTCATCCCCGTCAAGAACCTGCAACACCCCTCCGATGTCAAGTACCTTACGGTGGAGTTGAATCCGACCGTGGAGGAGGATCTTCTGCAGGTGTTACCCAAGGAAATTAGGCTACGGGATATTGTGATGCCGTGCGAGGAGAGCCGACTTGAGGTGCAGTCTTTTGTTGTGCGCACGCGCCTCACGATGCCGCACGCGCTGCTTATTCGCTCCAACCGCCCACTACTTGTGTCACTTTTTGAGGACGCGAAGTGCACCATCCCTCTTGTGAGCCCTGTTCAGCGGGTGTTTTCGCACGAGAAGCTTCGCATTTACGTCCGATTCCGGCCGAGTGAACGTGCATGGCGGCACAAAAGTCGACTGGTGACAACCGGTATTCTTATTGAAGCTCTGGCGGCTGAGATGGGCAGTGAAAGACATAGTAGCTACAGTATTTTGGCGCAGACGAGCTTGCGCCTCACGGCACACGTGGGGAGCGGGGAGGTGGTACTGAAGGAGTCCTCCATTGACCTCGGTTCTGTTTTGCCGCACTGCCGCCTCGCACAGACAAGTTTCACTGTGAAGAACCCATCGGACCGTTTCGAGGTGCGACTGCGAGTGATGCCGAGTCTGACGGTCACGCAGGTGGAGACACCGGAGCTGAAGCTCCCCCCCGGGGCCGAGGTGGAGGTGCCTGTCTCTTTGGAACTTGCCGCCCCCGGGCTTTTGCGGGAGTCACTGACGGTGTTTAACCTGAGTTGTCGGCAGAAGCCGCAGCAGGTGGGGCTCTCTATACTGCGGCTAGATGAGGCGATCTCCGCTACGGTGGTGGCGGCGGCAGAGGACGCGCCGCAGCAACTGCAGCTGCACGTGGATGATAAGCCGCTGGATACCCCTGCGGAGCCAGAGCCCTGGAGGCAACGTAGCAGTGAGGAAGTTGTGGTTGTGCTCCCAACGGCGGTGGTGGTGAGCGGGGAGGACGGCGGGCTGCAGCTTCACGGCCCTGTCAAGACGGCCACATTGCATATGACAAACCACAGCACGCGGGATCTTATCCTTGTTGCAAAGGGCCCTGCACCACTTGTTCTTGGCCTTCCACGGCCTGCCTCCCCAGTGGAGGAAGCGGCGGGCCCGTCGCTGGTCTTCTCGCCCGTCTATCCGCGTGGTCGTGTGCGCCTGGACGCACGGCACACGGAGGCCGTTGCATGGACCCTCACCTCCCTGCCACAACTGACGGAGCAACAGGTGCGGCGGCTACTGCGGCATGAGGTGGTCACGGTGGAGGAGATGACGCAGGTGTACGTGGCGCAGATCATCGACGAGGGGGCGGGGTTCAACTACAACGCCATGCTGTTTCCCATGAAACGTTCCCTGCCGGCTGTGGGGCAGTGTGTGCTGCTGCCACGTTTTGTTCTTACCTTTGCCATGAGTGGGGGGCGAGTGGACACCCCGCTGATTGAGCTTGGCGTGGTGGGCGTGGGCGGCAAGGACTCCGCCAGCGACGGCGACGGCGCCCCTGTGGTTATACGCCTAACAAACCTCTCGCCTGTTTTGCCGCTGCGTCTCAGCATCGAGTGCGAGCCAACCGTGCGATTTGTCAGCAACCATGTCGTCGTGCCCCCGAAGCAGAGCCTCTCGGTGGAGGCGCTTCTCCTGGTGGGACTCATCCGGACGCAGGGGCCCTTTTGCTTTGCCGTCTACTTTGTTAACGAGCTCAACCCCGAGAATGACATGGTGGCGCATGTGAGGGGTCAGTACTACTGGAAGGTGTTTGACCTTTCTTGCGACGGTGTGATGAACAGCGCGCAGGAGTCTCTTTCTATGGAGGCGCTGCAGGTAAAGGAGACCGCTTCCGCTGCGGACGTGCTCTCCGAGAGTAAAATAGTCATGACGGCGATGGAGCCAAACGTCGAGGTGGGCGTGGGCGTGACAGAGAACCCCAAACTGGCGGGGCTCATTCAGCTGCAGGTGCTGCAGTACGATGCTGCGGCCGCACTGCAGAGCATTGCGTTTGGGCAAGCCAAACACGGCTCGGCCAACAAAGCTGCCTCTGCCCTTTCCACCGCCGGAATAAACAACAGCATGAACGCAGCTAACAACAGCAATAGCGCCGTCGATGGCGGTATTAGTGGTGGTGGCTCTGGTGTGATTGGTGCGACAGACGCTCTGGGGATCCCCGCCACCATCACAGTTGCCACTGCCGCTAACGCAGCCGGCGGCAGTGGTGGTGGTGCTGGGAATGGCGTGGGGGGCAACGTGAACGAATGCGGGGAACAATGGTACCGGTGGTGGGGCTTCGAGTGGTAGTGCGATGAGTGCCCCGTTGGTCACCGCCGCCCCAATGACTTCGTGTGCGGCCGCTGCATCGCCCGTGCTGGCGAAGCCTGAGGAGCTTCTGAAAGGGGTGCTTTCCCGGCCGAAGGAGCACCAGTCCTTTCGTCTGCGGTGTCTGCTCATGAAGGGGGACTTCGCTGCCCTCTCCGCCGCCTTCTACGGGCAGCGCAAGATGAAGCGGGCCGACATCCTTCGAAAGCGACAGGGTATGACGTTTGGAAACCTTGCCGACGTGGAGCAGCGGCGGGTCACCCAATCCCCCTCCTTGTGGCTGGGCACACTTCACTTCTCCAACTCCCTCACCTCCGCGGATGAGGAGGTGCAGGTGTTCAGCACGCTACGCGCGTTTCAGACGTTTGCAGTTCCGCCGCGCATCACACTCACCCCACACCCCACAGCGACGGCCTCTGAGGCGGTATCAGGGGCAGCAGCCAGTACAGGAAGAGAGGGAGGGATTGAAACGGGCGGGGTGCATTACGCGGCAGAGACGGTGTACACCGGCGAGTTGGTTGTCTCCAACCCATGTGCGCAGCACACGGTGGCGCTCTCCATCACCCCCCTGCTTGACAGCGCGTACAAGGGCGGTGTGGCGGTGTTCTGTATTCAACTCAACGAGCTGCCGCCGCCGCCGCCGTCCCTGCTTCTGTGGGGCGAAGGATCGAAAGTGCCGAGTGCGTTGCGCGGTGACCTGGTCACGTTTGGGGAGAGGCAGCTCTCGGCCAGAAATGCGGCCGATCCTACGGGTGTTTTTCCACCATCGCCGTCGCATTCTCTTACGAGCATTGCGGCAGAGGTGTCGAGTGCGGACGAGACGACAACCACGCTTCTGGCGATCCCGCCGCAGTGCGCGCAGCGGGTACGAGTCATGCTGCGAGTGGACACAAGCCGACATCGACCAAACGTGGAACAGGGCGTGGCGCTGGCTCTCTTTGATGAGAGCGTCACATGTAGTGCGGCGGCGGTGCGTATTGCTCTCGTCCCTCTGGATGAGAGGGCACAACAGCTACAAAAGCAGGAGCAACTCTTCTTGCAAACTGCAGGATCGCGGGTAGAGCCCAGAGCGGTGGCAGCGGCAGCAGCAGTTTGTAGTGGTGCTGGTCGCGACGGGCTGCTGGAGGAGGTTTCAGACACGGATAGGCCTGCAGCGGCCATTGTGGGCATGCGAAATGCGTCACCAAATGCAGCGGCCACCAAGCTTGGGGCAGGCAGCATGCATATAACTGGCGGTATGGCAGCGTCGGGGGACGTCCATGGGATGCCCGCATCCTCGGCAGCATCACCGCGGGTGCTGAGTCTCCATGGCGATTGCCAGGTCGTGGCGGGGTGCCAGGGAACGTACAGCTGCCACTTCACCTACGCCAAGGATTCGCCCCCGACGACGGGCATTACGATCCGCAATAACCTTGCGGATACGGTGGTGGATTACAGTGTGGCTATTTGGTCGCAGGGGCCGCAGCTGTGGCTGCTGCTGCCCAGTGCCGCAGCTGTTCTGGAACCTGGGGAGACGCAGCCGCTGCGTTTGAACATTCTCTCCACCGAGGCTGGGCTCGTTTGGGGGATACGTAAGCATCACCACCAGCGCCGCCCCGGGGGAGTTGCTGCTGCTGCAGCTCACAGCCGAGGTGTTTCTGCCCACGGCGGGGGAGGGGCTGTTTGAAATTGTGGCCTCCAACGGGCAGCGGATGTCGACAAATAAGGAGCACAGCGTGTTTATTGGCCGCCTTTTTGGCGCCGACACGCACCGCACGTACGTGGCGCTGGAAATTGTGAACCGCGCCAGTATTCCCCTCGAGTTCCCCGTGGCCGTTGTGCAGCCCTTCCGCATGGAGTTTAACAACATTCCAGAGGAGGGGGACGACCTCAGCCTCGCCGCTACCGCCACCGCCACCGCCACCGCCACCGCCACCGCCACCACCGCCGCCGCTGCTGCTGCTACTGATGCGAATGCCGATGCCGACTCTGCCTCGGATGCTGCTAGTAGTACTGCGACCACTGCCGCCAACGCCAGCGACAACCGCAGCAGCTCACAGAGAAGCGACAGCGGACGAACCACGTCCTGGGCCGCGGAATGGGCGGAGGAAGCAGAGGGCAAGCCACGAGATGGCGCTGGGGCTTGTCCGGAGTGTGAGATGCGCTTGCTGGTGTCTCACTTTCACAACGTTGCCGAGATGCGGGGGCAGCGGCGCTTCGTCGTGGATCCCAAGTCCCGCGTGAAGGTGTTATTCCTCCTCATCTGCGACCGGCTCTTGCTTCCCAGCGGGGTGGCCGTCGCTGGTGAAGCGGAGGTGGTTCTGAAGTGTAAGCAGGCCCGTGACGCACGGTTTGTGGTAAAAGCACGCTTT